CCCCAAAACCCCAAAACCCCAAAACCCCGGATGTTCATATTTAAGGAAAATTCTAAAAATATGTTTTTAATACAGATGATCTATAAATAAATTTAATTAACTCAAATGATGTCGATTTCTCAATAGTAAGATGAGTAAGGCCCTTCAGACATTAAAAAAAGTCTCAATGTTCTAATGCTCTAGTCAAAGGCCTAATTAAGAAATGCTGCTAAAAGCATAGATAATTACAACAGTATATTAGAAAAAGTAAAAATAAATTCTCAGATTACTTTACCTATCTATTTATAGTATACTCCAGAAGATGAAATCGATTTAATAGTGTTAGGGGAACTCGCTTTTACAGGTGGAATTTTCTACTCTAAAGAAGATCTTATCAATTATAGCATCACTTTTGGCTATGGTGACCTGTTCAAATGGTGCAAAGAGATTTCATAGAAGTTTGGATGTTTTGTGATAGCTGGCTATGCGGAATTTGATAACTATAAATACTACAACTCAATGCTTATAGTATCTGATGAAGGAATACCATATAAAAATTATAGAAAGTGTAAATTAAACTAAACTTCAGATAAATTCTTTACTGCTGGAGCAGGCTATGATTTCGTAGATATTTAATTCAAGAGAATAAGCCAATGGATAAGGATAGGTCTTGGAATTGGAAATGATATCTTGAACTATGGAGTGTTTGACTATGAATCTATGGATTTTGCTGAATTTTAGCATTATCACAAAGCTTAACTAATAGTACTGATAACAGCCTTCGAAGAACCAAGCTCTCTTTTTAACGATGCTTCAATAGCTTAAATATCAGCAACAACTTGGATAAATAGATTAGTTCCAATCAGGAAGTAAGCAGAAAAAGAAGATAGAAATATATATTTTATTGCTTGTAACAGAATTGGAAAGGAAAACTATTAGACATTCACTGGAGGTTCATGCATTGTAAGAATAGTTCCAAAGATTTCATTTAAGATTCTGTATCCTGGTAAAGTTGAGTACAGCTGTATTTAGAAAATAGAAATATGAGGTATTATTATGCAGCTACTGTTTCATTAAATTAAGCATTTTAAGTCATAAAAAGATCTAAATTTAGAAAAGTAATTTAAGCATTTTTAATTTTTCATATTGACTATACTTACTCTGCTTCGGGGGTTTTGGGGTTTTGGGGTTTTG